GGTGGGAGATACCCCGCTAGCTGTTCGTAGCTCGGCGCCGGATCTCCTCGTCCAGAGGGTGAAGATCAACACTTCACAAGGAAAAACATACACTACACTTATGGGACTGGTGCCTTTATCAGTTGACGCGCCCGGAATCACTATCAATCAATCAATCTTTGGATGCGATATCTGTGCCCTGGACCACCATTAACTTTCGAGTGTTGGCTCACTATGAAAGTCATTCAGGACACTTACACTGTTTTTACGAACTTGTCCGTGTAATAATACATCTAATGCTATCGGTTTGCATGGTATTTCAGGTCATATTCTGTTTGCTCATTGAACTCGATATGATTTGGACATTGTGAATCATAATCATTGTTGATCATAATCAATACGCATAATTACAAATTTAAAAAAAAAAACATTATACATTAATGAAAGAAAATGAGCAGGAAATATTCGAAAAACGCATTTAGCTAAAGGGACAACCCCAGTCGCAAACTCTTAAGAAAAAAAACCATACTTTTTTTTTTGAAACGCCTAATCTGAACAAACTTCTCACAGTCCAAAACACAGCGCACGCGCAGCGGGGACGGGAGAAGGCGAGCGACGGGCGAGAAGTTTCGCGGAACGATGTTTATTTGCTTCCGGTTTCTGGGTGGTAAGTCAGCGACAAGGCTCCTCGATACGTTATGCGTTTTGATGTGCAGCTCCATGTACGTAAGAGAGGTGTTATTACGTCACACACAGCTGTCGATCACCAATTTCTTTTAATCCGACTTTATTTCCTCATTGTGCCATCGGCGAATTTAAAGTGAACAAGTTATACCTTGGTACTACGAACTAAAAGGGTTACTACTGCGAACTAAAAGGGAACTTCTTTCCTATTAAACCTATTGTTATTAAATCCATTATACCGAAGGTAGAGAAGAGAAAATTAATATTTTGCTTTTAAGTGTGGTTTAAGTACGACTTTACACTATTTCTTTGCTAAAGTATACCTTTATTGCGATCGGTATTGAATTAGCACTTCAACCACTAATTAAAATAACAGCTCAGAGTAGACAATGTATGCCTCCATTTCTATTCTCAATAAAACTAGAACATATTATTTTTACTAATACTGCTATCTACACACACAAGTGAAAGAAACAGTGCAAATATTGATAGTACTGGCCTGTAGCTAATGTTGCATAATCATGTAGATATATTTGAAAGTAAAAAAGAATTAATGAATATGTTTTTTAAACAGGTTTTGCGTACGTCACTGTATTTTAACTGAACTAGCTTTCGGAGAGGAATTATGTTCTATAATTATGTTTTCTAAATAAATTAATGAATTTCCATAACTCATTCCTGTGGGCATCATAACGGTTCTCACGATCGTATCTCCCCCCACACACTTCCATAAATAAAAATCAATGTTAAGAAAAGTAATAAGACAGGCTAAAATCACGAAAAAGAATTAAGTCATTTTGAACACAAAAATCAAAAACAAAGGTAATGTGGAATAGAGTACAAAATACTATCACATTAACTAGGAACCTAGAGAATGCTGTTTTCAAAGATAATGATTGAGAAGTGAACGACCCGGCCACAGTTATCAGTCTCTACAACCAATATATCTGTAAAATTGCTGCTCATATCACTAAGGGTCTAAAGCAACAAAATTCAACGACATACTTGTCCACATACATTTTCGACACGATATTTGTTTTCCAAAGGTCTGCCTAAGAAATTATCAAAACAATCGGTAAATTTAGTAATTCCGTCTAATAAGTCGGCCTATTTAGATGATTTTCCGAGCTGTTTGTTAATGACTTGTGGGCCTGATACAACCGTCAAATCTCATAAATAATGTACCCTTAAGTACCGGAACATTTCTAAATATTTTCAATGCAGCTAAGGTTAAGCTGCTAGGAAAAAGTAACAAAAATAAAATGTAAAATTATCTCACCAATTTCTCTTTTGTCCGTTTTCACAAAAATATTAGAGAGTTTTTTAGATGTGAATAATACCTTCGATAGTAAATATAAATGCATCATTATTTCCGCAATATTAACATTTCTACATTAACACTTCTAACAGATCTACATTGAGCTACCATGATTTTTCGTCAAATGCCATTTTACACCACAGACTCTTTAATTCAATGTGGCTTCATAAATTTTCAATTTACCTTACGCTTTACCACACATGCAGTGCCAACACACACATCAGTTTCAATGTAATGTTTTTAATTAATCCCAAGGATTTCTTTCCACATTTTCACTCAGATCTTCTCACTCAGACTTCAATCATGGTTAACGTTACTTAGAGATTAATTTCTAGTATACGTGTGTATCGTACAAAATTCTTCATAGTTTCATCGCCTCTGATCGGTATATTTACTTCCAGAAAATCATACATTTATGTGACTATGTGTTTCAAACTAACTTTGGAAGGAAATTATAAAAGCCCTTGTGAGAATGATATTTTGTATTTATTAGTAATCTAGATATAAGGTAATCATGATATAAACCATTTGTGCTCAGAGGGATCATCAGTCTCATCTCTATGAAATTGACAGAACATTAATTGTCTGAATGAGTATTAGGTATCCAGTGTTAATATTTAACCCTGCAGCGAGCGAGTTTGCGCACCTAGCCCGCTAAATTGAAATGAGTTCAAATTTAACGGCTATGTTTTCAAACGAAATGAATAATGGACTCCTAACTATTCCTACATGCGTGTTTGGCTTTCAATACGAATATATTTGTTATTATTTGATTCACGACCAGAGGGAGAGGACTGTGTAATTACAGCAATTACATTGTGCACGCCGCGCCAGGCACGCACGGCTATCGATATTTGAGAGAACTAGTTTCAAAGCCAGCAATCTCTCACGTATTCTAAAATAGAGTACTTAGCACTCGGGTATTATAGGCATTAAACTTATTCCAGGTTTCTTAAATGAGCACTATAACCAGGTGTTTTTTTTTTTTGGTAACAAAATCTAAAAGTTAAAATCAAACCCATCAAATCCAAGTCTTCCAAATTTAGTTTTCTCAAAGTTGGGAATCTCTTATTGCTCTAATTAAAAAGGTAAAATAGTTACTTCCCAGCATGCTGCTCTTATTGTGTCACGTTGTAAGAGGTTCTCAATGGAAGAAATTGTCAAAGCCCATGGATGGGAAATTTAATATATCGAAGTTACACATGTGGTATTTTGCCCTGTTTGTTAGGTATTTCCTCATACACAGGTCACATTTTTATCCATTCAAGGAGAATTTGAGTACGTACCGAACAACACTGCTAGGGAATGCCTTAATATAACAAGTGTAATGTATTCATTTGAAATTTCTCACCAAATGTTCATTAGCAAAACGTTATTATCTTCGACACCCCTTACATGTCCTAGAAGTCTGACCGCGAGAGGAGGCTCACCGAATCCTTAGTACCGGGTCCTTAATACCGAAAAATCGATTGACGGCAAAAGTCTGTCTGTTTGCCCGTCTAGCTGTCTGTCTGTTCATCTTTGGTCAACGATAGTAGCTAGACCATTCATACTATTTTCTTCAAAATTGACATTCGTCGATCGATTTGAAGGAACTCGAGTTCTTGCCGCTTTGAAACGGATATTTTTATTTCGGAATTACCTTACATGAAACCTCAACTTTTTCAAAATTTCCTAAAAACTGGTTCCAATTTTTATCATTAAACTCTGTTTTCTAAAAGCAAAGAGAGCGGATAAAAGAATTGTTTACGTCTGATTTTCGTTAAAATCCATTATTTTGGAAAAATTCTAAAAGTTTACATTTTTTCAGCGTTTTCCGACAACTTCAATATTAAAGATAGATATTTCTTCTGAACTAAATCTGTTGTCCGACGACAGATCTTAAAATAACATTATGTACATTCGACAATCGAGTAGTTGGTGAGAAAATAAATACATGTAATTTTTAAATAATTATTTCTCCAAAACGGCTCCAAATTTTTTTCTTTAAATTTTCCCTCATATGCATCAAAAAAATTGATACTGTTCCAGTTTTTGGCAAACTATATTTGCGAAAATTGGAAAATCGCAATTAACATTGTTCTTTTACAATGTTTAAATTAGGGATTATTGTCTTAAATGAAATCAGGTTTTGAAATATGGTTATGCACAATGTTTTTAAAGAGTATTTTGTCGCGTAATTTCTGTTTGGAGTTAATATAATTGATTAAAAAAGCATTTTCTGTAAGACTGTTTCTATTTTTTCCCTTAATTTCGGGGGATGGAGCAAAGAACGCTAAAAAATGTCGCAAATTTCATTTGTTCCAGTTTCTGAATTTTCGAGAATTGCGAAAGGTACAAAAAATCGATAAAGAACGTAATGTAACACCAGTCATTTCATTATTTGACGATGAAATTTATCCATTTTCCAATGCTGCCAATGCAATAGTCTAAAAACGAAAATGTATCTATATTTGTACCTCGGTGATACAATAGTAACGAAATACGTTATTGACTCCACGCAGGTGTACCGACTACAATAAATAATATGTGTTTGAAAAAATCGTAAATCAACTCTGACTTGACTGAATTTCTTCCTGAATAATGCAATTCTTTCGTGCACAGAGTTTAAAAATGTATTAGTTTAAAAAAAAGTATTCCTCCATTAGGAATTGTTTCTTTCAATATTTACACATGTGCCATGTATATGTATATAATACTTACATTAGTTTATTAATGAAATACTTATAGAGTGGTGTTTGTCTATCATTTATATCATCAACATAATTTAATGAACGTATATTTTGTATGCTTAATATGTTATTAGGCAGTGTGGAAATGTGTTCTTTTTGAGAAACATATGTACGAGTTTTATCTTTGTATACAGTAGTATACGCATAAATTTCTAGTACTTTCTAGTAAATGTGCAAATGATATCTGTATGTACATTCATCAAATTTGCGATCAAATTAAATATTTCAAGAGGTTAACCAACGTCGTAGGAAAAATAAATTCTATTGATCATTACATTTTGTTCCAGCTGGCCAAGCCATTTAGCCACAAGCCCATGTACAAGTTCGGTACTATCCCATGGAGCCATACAGATTCAACGCTGAGCAAATATTTCAAGGAAATGCACACTTACATGAAGCCATACAACAGGTCAACTGTCGGCGAAGGAATTGAAGCTGTATTGAGTGGGTAAGTAATGACTTGTTGAGCTCTTCCTTGAGAATAATTGAGAGAAAATATAGAAATCGAAAACATTTAGTACATCGTAAACATTTAGTACTCTTTTTATTAAGCTAGGAATTCTGCTTTTCCCGTGCCTCTTCATTTATGATTTACTGCTGTTGGATTTTTGTAAAAAAAAGTCATCCTCGATGGAGGGAAAATATTTTCGAACAATACAGATATCTATAACTATAATACTGGACGTTGTAATAATTTTCAGCAGGTGTCAATATTATAACGTGGTGGGAGTGGTGGTTGCGGGATGTATGCGGCATAGCGTGTTCAATGAAACAATTCACACCTTACTAGAACACGTTTAATGAACCTAAAGACACAAGTAAGGATGTATATTAACATGCCAGTGATGTGATGAATGATTACAAAACATTTACAATTTAGATTTTAGATCTTATGGCTCATTAATTTGAATAAGGAGATAAGAATATATTTATCACCCGTAACAAATAACATGTCGTCTAGTTGACATCTATCTTACATTATGATTTTCTAATAATTCCTACTTTAGTACTATTTATCGTTTAAGGGGCATTGTTAGGTTGATGTTAACCAATGTAATTTATAAAACCTTATTATTAGTCTAGCATGACCACTGGTTTCAGTGTATTCATGAAAAATGCTGTCTTATTACTGTTTTTAAAATTTGATATTTGTTTACTTATTTCGTTGTGTTTTAACATGTGAAATTCTAATACTCACCACACTATTATTCTTGAAATAAATACAAACGATTTCACTACATCATAGACCAGTAGAATCCATGTTTCTACGTGTCCAGGGTTTCCAGGAGACGCCATTAATTTGGTAAGAATCGTCAAAAGTGAAAACGGCCGAGCGACAGCGTGATGTAGCGGTTAAGCACATAGCGGGCGAACATGTTTGCTGGTTGGAAACTTATGCAATTGCATATACAGATGATACAAATAATGCGAGTAATTTTGTGATGTTGTAGCTTCACTAATTCAAATTTGTTTGTTTCTTTTTAATTTTCATTTTCTTTAGATCGAATGTACACTATGGATCTAAATTTGCAGGGTGAATATATTAAATCGCACCATAATGTTGCTGTCTTCTACTAGCATTTATTGTGACATTTCAATAAACTATTGCCTGATCATGCATAAATTACACAGTAAACCCGCTCATTAACTTGTTAAATAATTCGAATGAGGAAGATCATATTATACTCCAATTTCCATTACAAATGCATAATAAATAATTTCCAAAAGGCACCCAAGCAGTACAGAGTTAATATATTAATTACACAATTTGAACCCACTCTTGCCGTGCTAATATGGATTCTGAAAAATATGGTAACACCAGAATAAAACTATTAATATTTAAGGTACAAATGCACAAAAAACAACAACATAACTTATTTATAAGACACATTGTCTTCAATATTTATCCTTATTTATTACAGACAATCAATTGATAAAACATCATTGTGTACACATGTTTTTATTAATTTGTAGACAACACGTTTCTCACACACTTGTGGCAGCTTCAAACGTATCAATGCAATGTCTAAATTGTCTATAGTAGAAACATACCTTAATATAAAATTTCTTTTGTAGTTATTTAAACGTTTGTAGTTGATGATGTAACAATTAGTAGTTTTGTTCTCATGGAAGATGAGATAATATATTCTGAACAATTGGCAAATTAAAATAGTTTTATGGAGCTCACCAAAATGCCATCAACCTATAATGAACGTATTTAGAAATGCGTCGTGAAATGCAACATATAATACAAAATGATTGTAATTAACGATAATTAAATCGAACAGATACAGTTTAGTAAATAATTATCTTTCACGCGTAATAAGTATGGTAAATGAACTTCAGGATATATATCACATCAACCCCCCCTCGACATGATTGTCGGCATATTTTGGTTGATCCATAGAAAATACTGAGGTGGTTCTATTCCTTATTCTTAAATGTAGCATATACATCTCTTAAAAATATTAAATACATATTTTTTTCTGTCTTTGTACACAATACATTCATTATTTGTCTAAATAAATGGATTTCTTAAAAATTTATTCATCGTTAAGATGTAGTAAACAAACTAGTGCTGGTTGTGCCCAGGGAACTGGACGCCTTCATCTACGACGGCACCGTGCTGGACTACCTGGTGGCACAGGACGAGGACTGCCGCCTGCTTACCGTGGGCTCCTGGTACGCCATGACGGGCTACGGCATTGCCTTCACGCGCAACTCCAAATACGTGCAGATGTTCAACAAAGGCCTGCTGGACTTCCGGGAAAACGGTAGGCTGCTCAAGCGATTTCATCTACTAATATGTCTGCTTAATACATTCTTGGAGAAGTTGATTCTATTACAATCCGATGAGATTACTCATAAGAGTCCCCTGGTCGGGATACATTTAAGATAAGTTGACCTTTTTTTGCTATGAAGAGGATGACGAAAACATTTAGGAAAAAAGTATAACGTTAATAAATAAAACATTTTATTATTTCAATCAAAAATACACTAATTATGCTTACATCCCTTTTAATTATTTAATTAAAAGGGTATTTTCCAATGAATTAATATTTTTTGTCAATTTATCATTTTCTAACAATATATTGGAAATTTGGGAGCAAGAAATGTGATAACCATATTGAATTTTATGGTAAGTGCTGCAGAGTATCAACATTCAATCTAGATTTCTTACGTGTCGAAAACCCTAAATCCTAAAGCTGAAAGTACTGAAAACGGCGAGAATTCCACCGATCTGGTAACACTAATCGCGTCTTTCCGCACTGTACCATAACAAGTCGCGTAACAGATTGGCGCGGCATCTCTTGATTCAGAGATTACCTGATACGTTTTAAAATATCAAAATGGAGGACAGGTAAGAGGACACTTTTCGAGGAAGGACGGAACGTACAAAAAAAGGACTGTCCTCCCTAATGGAGGACGGTTGGTCCCCCTTTTTAAGAAAGTTTCTTGAGGAATATATAAATTGGTACTTTATTTTGTATTTTGGTTGTGAGTGGAGGTTCTTTCGAGTCACGTTTCTCGTAACGTCAAACGCTTAGCGCTCATGCTTGGATTCTCCCTATTAGCTTCTCCACTACCATTAGCTCTCTTGTGTCGTTTGAATTTCTTATTTTTGTTCAATATAGTGTATTTTTCGTTTAACGTTAGAGGTGTGCGTTTGTTTAGAAGATGCCTCGACTAACACTGATAATTCACGCCGTGTCGGCTATCCGTTTCATAATTCATTTTGTCCATGGAGGTACCGAGCTCTTTAGTCTGTTTGGCTGTCAATCGTCTGTGTTCTTGGCTGGCCCAACAAATACCTAAATTCCAGAGATCCAGTTGCATACACGAAGTGATTGATTTCAGTAATCTGTAGATCTTCTCTGTGGTCTGGTCCCCCTCATTTAGGACAGTATTCCCTGACTCCAGTACCATTTTAGCTTTAGCATTTTCTCCCCAACGGTGCACGAATGGAAGAACATGAACTCGTTCTAACTCGCGTCAAAGTAGATTTCGCATCGTGTCTGTATCGTGCGATTCATTGTGTATATAGTGTATTTTTGTAGTTGTTATTAATGTTTTTGCTCACGAATAGGCCGACTTGGACCACATGCGCATGCACCCTGCACTTAGCGAGGCTGAGTACCATTATCTCTTTCGAAGGTGCATGTAACTTTATCTGGGGATCAGCATTTACCTAGATCCGATTTTTCACCCCCAGAGTTGTTAGCCCTGGAGGTATGGAAGATGAAATGGTGATAATGAGGGGTGAAAGGACGACACACACATACAGGCATACACAAATAGACATATGCTGGTGGTGGGTCTCCAACCTGCGATCGTCTGGTCCGAGACTGCTACGCTACTACTGCCTTAGCGATCTTGGCCATCTGATCGGCTATATTATTATTACTATTATTACTATTATTACTATTATTACTATTATTACTATTATTATCATTATTACCATTATTACCATTATTACCATTATTACCATTATTACCATTATTACCATTATTACCATTATTAACATTATTAACATTATTAACATTATTAACATTATTACTATTATTACTATTATTACTATTATTACTATTATTACTATTATTATTATTATTATTATTGTTGCTGTTATTGCTGTTGTCGAATAAGAAAAGATGCAAGCATTAAAGCAAGGGCATTGCGCTGGATTGGTGGCTGCAGGCGATCTGGAGCGTTTGCGGCGCTACTGGATGACTGGCACGTGCAAGCCCGGCAAGCAGGAGCACAAGTCGAGCGACCCGTTGGCCCTGGAGCAGTTTCTGTCCGCCTTCCTGCTGCTGATGGCCGGCATCCTGCTGGCCGCCGTGCTGCTGTTGCTCGAGCACCTCTACTTCAAGTACGTGCGCAAGCACCTCGCCAAGACGGACCGCGGGGGGTGCTGCGCCCTCATCTCGCTGGTGAGTCGCCTTGGATTTATTTAAACAAAGAACTATGTGTACTTATTTATTTGTTTATTTATTTACGTCAAAAACAATTAAAAACTGTGTGTGACGTGCTATAGGGAGAAGTCAATTTGAAGTTACATTTATGTCCAGAAGCAAAACAAGGCGCCATCTCATCATTTGCTCCAGGATCAGGGAAACTGGACGAAAACTTGATCGAGATGTCAGGCGGAAGAGCAGGCCTCGTGGCATGAGTCTCGCCACGTAAAATAAGGCATCAATTCAATGCAATTAAAACGAGCGAGTGTATAAGTTGTGAATCAACTTGTACAACAGAACTCTAAACACTTCTGCAAAAACGGTTCTGGAACGTGCTGAGTAGTTACGCGGTAATTCGACTTTAGTAGTAAATATTTCGGAGACGTTCTTGCCGAGAGACGTCGTGGACGAGGGACTTGCCGAGCGAGGTGTTGTGAAAATAAACGCTCACTGCAAGATACCGTTCAGCATGGTATCAGATTTCATAAGATGATATGTGTTTAATAATTGCCATTGAAGGTCCATCGTGGTGAGTGTTACAAATACTGAACATTACAATAAGCAATGTGGTCCGACGATTTTGGTCCACCGGAACTAAAACTGGCAGATGGCCATTTCTCAGCAAGACCCGAAAGGAAACAGTGGAGAACTCGAGGTTAAGAGCTTTTGCGTCACCCAAAACTCTCCGAGTAAAATGGTCCAAAGTGGCGGTCTTCACTGTTTTGCGCGGCGGAGTTTCGGTCCATGGACCGAATCTCTGTCAGATCTAAATCTCAAATCGGTCCACATCGATGTTCGCTCTTGGTATTGGTGGGAAAATGGGCGAAATCGATTTTTCTCAGACTATTCACACGCCTTGGTTCTTCCCCTTCATTCTCCTTTTTCTCTTAATTTATAAATTTTTAAATAAATGACATAAATGAGGAAATTAGATAATAAATAATTAGAAATGTTAATTAATAAATTATATATTTAATGAATTAACAATAATAATAAAAATATTTTTATAATATAAACATACAAATTTGACCTTGTAGTTATTTATTTATTATTTATTTACAAAAACAGTAAAAAACTGTGTGACGTGCTATGAGGAGAAGTTAAATTGAAGGTACATTTATGTCCAGAACCGAAACAAGGGGCCATCTCAGCATTTGCTCAAGGATCAAGGAAACTGGATGAAAATCTGATCGAGATGGGGGTCATTGACCCAGAAGCTGAAATATAATACTTACAATACAAGGATGATTTATTTTCTCAGAACACGTTTTGTAACATTCGTCTACATTCTAAAGTATTACATAAAGCTCGCCTATTTCCAAGGAAAAGGTGGGTAACGTCGGCCCCCTGTTGCAGAGCATGGGCAAGTCGCTGACCTTCCGAGGAGCCGTGTTCGAGGCCCAAGACATCCTGCGCCACCACCGCTGCACCGACCCCATCTGCGACACCCACCTGTGGAAGGTGAAGCACGAGCTGGACCTGGCCCGCATGAAGATCCGGCAGCTGCAGAAGGAGCTGGAGTCGCACGGCATCAAGCCCAGCCGCAGGTGAGGACTGCGGGAGCAAGCGCGGGGACCACTCTGGTCGCCTTCGGGCGGGGCGGCGCGTGGCGTGGGCCGCACGAGGGAGGAGGGTGACGTGTAGGTGAACACGGAACGCGAGACGGCGATGGACATCGTGAGAACTGTAGTACAGTACGTGAATCTGTGAGGTCACCTTGGAGACCTATGATATGCATTCTCAGGATTTTTGTAAGGATAGCTGAAGACAGGCCCTTTAATGTTATATTTGAAATTGCCCCTTTTGCGCATTTCGGGTTTCATTAAATAGCGTTTTCATAAAAAGGAATCACTCTCCACAAAACCTTTGCGCGTTTTTTTAGTAGTTTCGCGACGTGCAAGGAAATGCACTATGTGTGACTGATTTGATGATTGAATAACTTAAAAGTGTGATAGGAATCATTATATCGACTCTTTTTAGTTGTTCAATTTCAATTTCACTGTGTTGACAATCAATGCCTACATTTTTCATGTCAACTTTCTCAAATAAGCTTCACATCATCACAATTTTCACGATGTAACAGTTTTCAACGACTTATTTATTGCATAATCAGCTTTCAATGATTCATCACCTTTACACATGTCTGTGAAAGTCAAAAGGGACTACTCGCTGTTTGTCTATCATGATTACTTTTTATTTTAGAGGAAAGGATCGTTTTTTCTTAGCAGATCTGATCCGATCTAATAATGACAGTAGATCTTGAGAATGCATATAACTATATGATAACTCTTTATACGATACTTTACATATTGTTTGAAACAGACACAACATATTTTTATTACGTCTTAACCAGATAAATCGTCAGCCAACAATTTCGATATGCAAGACATCAGTATATTTTATGATCAATATAAACTGCGATGATTGCCGTAGCTTCTTTGTTAGTCACTTCCGTCAGCGGTGGAAAGTAATTTTAGTTTATTGTGTTACCATGTGGCATGTATCAGTAACAGTTACCAGCCTTATTTTTTTTAAAGTAGCTGTGAGATCCTAATGAATGCTAATTAAAATGTTTAATAATTGGGATGTCTCGATCGTATCCGGGAAATTCGAAAACCTTTTACATTTTTTCGTACACATGCATTTTCTTCTTTTCACCATATAATAGTAAAACTGGACATAGATATCGTTAGGAACTATAACTTAGGCGTTTCGAAGAAACAACGCTGAACTTTCGAGATTTTTATGTACGTTTGTCTAATCTTATTTTTACAGTTCACCGTTTTCTTATTTCTTTTATGAAAGAGAAAGTTTGCAGATTTCTTGCCAGCTCCTTTCGAAATCAGTGATGTCGTGTTTGATCCCTTAATGATTGATGAACTGCCTTTCAGCGGGGGGTTATAATACGTTTCCTTTCAGCTGCGGGTAAGTAAACTCGCCTGGTCCCCGCGCGCACCTCTGCGCCCCCGCCTTCTGAGGGGGGCGGGGCGGGGTGGGCCGTACTGCAATGACGGGGCCGATGGCCCTCCCACCACACACGGCGAAACATGCATGCACCTCCAAAACTGGTCTCTCTCACACACACACTTTCATGCATTATTGCTTGCTCTCTCTATCTCTCTTGTCTTGCGAACAACATTTTTCTCCACAGTAATTTTCTTTTTTTGCATTTGAGACTCGTGGTTGTTGCTATGTTCGAATGGTAGGTAAGCTAGTATTGCGATATGAATTGGTATTTTTTGCACAGAGTAGAATTTGGAAGTAAGTTGCACGTGAGTCTCTCCATGTCTAAGGATTGTAAAACGAAGACCGAAAATGTTCTGAATTGTGAAAAGTAGACTCTTAAACATTTCGCATGCCTGTTTGAAAACCAATGTGACGAGAAAAATGATTTGAATTTCGTAATTTGTAATATTTTTACCTGTTTTTTGTCATTTTCCTAGAATCATTAACTACCTTGTAGTGCACGAAATATTTCTCCATTTAGAAACCTGAACTTTGCCCTGATTTTTTCAAGAATGTCTCTTGTGAAATCTAAGGTGTACGCATTCAAATTTCAAATCCATTGAACTTATTATTATGAGATTACTCAAGCCATATTTCGTAGTGGTGCTTAAAAATTAAAAATAGCTTTTAATAATGCAAATGTATAAAATACTGTGCCTTTCAAAGATTTCATTCCACGATTTATAAATCAATAATTAAATTGAATATCTCATTAAAGTGAATAACGAGTGAAAATTGTTCAAATTGGGTATATGTTACTCGTACAAATTTACAAATACGATGAACATGTAATTTAAAAAAATCAAAAATTAATTGTGGTCATGGAGAGAAATAAAAAAATATGAAGCTTGAATTAGATACTGTTGAGTCGGAAAAATTATATTGTTTATTATAGTTTCATTAAATTAGAGATAATATGGCCACGATTACATTTATGCATATTTTATGTAATTATGTTACACAAAACTTTTAAGTATGTCATCCCGATATTTACTTTGCCAATGTAGAAAATGGGTAACAAATGGAAAAATATTTCATGCATTGCATAAGAGGTTGTGTTCAATTTGAAACGTCTACTTTGAAGGAAAAGTGTGCTGATACATTACATAGAATTTTTTGAAATTTTAAAACGAGGACTGATGTGTTTGGTAACCCTTAGGCTACGTGCAATGGCTGCTAAGTATTTAATGATGCTAAGGAATGAGTTAAGAACGCGAAATTTAAAAGCCTGTTTTAACAGTGTTTTGAGCACTCGTATGGAATGCTGAAAAGTCTACTATTGTTAGGTTTTTAATCACTTTTGTTTGCAAAAAGCTTAAGAACATGATTATGAATTTGTCTTAACAATGCTGATGCATGATTTTGTGAACTTTTCAGCACAGCATTTTCACAGAATTGAAAACACAGCCACGCCTTTACGGTTTTATCCTTGTGAAACACTGCTGCAATGCATTTACAAACTTGCTAACACAGAACTTTCATGTACGCACACTTACGAAATATTGACTTCCAATACACTTCATCCCATTATATCAGATTTTTCCTTTCTCTATGTGCAAGTTTATTAAAATTCCATTGTTAAATGTTTCATTTGTAGTCATTTAGTAATGAAATTAGTAAACCGACAGCCATCGGCTGATCGAAAGAACGTCTTCCTAGAAATTTATCATATTAACAAAATAATTTCATGAGTGTCCACATCGTTTGAAAGTCAGAGTTCGCTGATATCTCGGAAAAGAGTTTATAGTTACCCGGTCATTTTTTATTTTTTTATTGCTTATGAATACGTCTTGTCTGAAAATATATTTTTGATAAAATATTCTTAACTATAAATAATAATCCAAAAGTTTTTATTTTGCTTCATTTGCTCAAACATTTCTATACAATCTCGGAAATGCAGAAAATTGTTATAGAAAAAACGAGGGATTTGAACAATAAACATTCTATTCTTGAAATTCACTGGTTATCGACTTCACAACTAGATAACTTTACAGTGCTTGCTCAGTCATTTCACTTGCTTGGCAGGCCGTTCGCGCGTGATTTTTAGCCATCTTTTTCCGGAACGAGTGGCCCTAGTGCCCTAAGAAAATTCATATTTGAACTCGCTAAGGACTAGCTTCACGCTTAGTGTCGTTTAATTCACAATTTCCCACATTTGTATGCCTTCTTGAAGATATTTCTGTAGTAGTAGAGGGACGTTTTTTCTGGAATGCTGCCCGCCTATTTAGAAATTCGACTTGATCTTTAGAAAGCACAGGCCCTTATTTTAGTATTCGCTATTATCACGTGATCTCAACCGAAATTCGTATTGCACTTTTGAGGTGCGAAGGATTTGACTGGCACCGTCGTAAATTTCTCGCACTAACAAAATGTATTGACTTTGTCCTCATTTGTTTCCACATCTTGGTATTAGTAGTCCATTCTCACAGCCTCTTCCCAACCATAATAGTTTTTGGAGTAATTGACTATTGCTGTAACAAACTCGAAAGAAAAAATTTAAAATTTGACATCTCTGGACTCCAACGGCGACAATAAATTCATGAGATTATCAGTCGCCTCGTAAGATATGAAATTATCTGAATATGCGTTACCACTGAAGGAAATAAATCCAACTAAAGGAAAGCATGCTTCTTTCGAATGTACGGGGTGACAAATAGAACGAGTGGACACTCATAGTTGCCTTCTGCTATCAACAACAGTGCTTCCCAAACAAAATGCACAGACCCTCGAAGGTTCGTGAAAATATTTTTTATAACTAGATATTATAATTTAGATATTTGAAAATGAAGTTTTCATTGCTATATTTGTTACTGATGGGTGTGTCATTTTGGGCCTTTAATAAATTTATTTTTATTTTTGTGCTTTATCAAATGGAGCTTGAAAACATAGAGTATTAGCTCCGTTTGGTTTCGAATTCCTGTGTTTATTTGCTGTGTATTTAATTCCTGTGTTTGTTTTTATTTTATTTTTTTTTTATTATTTGCACATATTTGAGATTACACAAACTTTCTGTAAAATTCGTAAAAATGTATCTCCTTATAAAGAGGATATTTCGGCCCGTTTTTTCTCCTTTTTTTCCGAGAGTTTCTTTTGCCCGAGTCGCCTTCCATTCCTTGTTTTGTGACTGTTCGGGGGTCCCCAATGCATTCTGAGCCGTCAAGGGCTAACGGCCTCCTGCCTGAGTTTGGGACTCACTGGTCTCCATGATGTGCATGTGGCGTGCCGTGTCGCATACAGGAAGAAGAAGAGCCCCCCCTCCTGTTGGGCCACCTGCTTGACTCGGCGCGAGCCCTCGGGGGAGGGGTCGTCAGCACCCGAGTAAGTGCATCAGTGTGCTTGAGTGTGCTCGAGTGTGCTCGAGTGTGCTGCTTATGCCTTGAGTGTGTGTGCCCGCCCGTGCGATGCTTGAGTGCGCCTCGGTAGGCTGGTTGCTTGCGCAGTGCCGTGCAGCTCAGGGCCTGCTTGCTCTACCACGTGGCTTGCCTCCTCACTACTTTGGATGTGTATTGTAGTTGGACACTGGCCAGGGCGCGGGAAGACA